AAGTTATTGTGCAAGTAGGAGCCCTCTAATTAATAGGTCACGCGCTTCCTTTATCGCTACCCTGACAACCTTCTCACAGCCTGGAGCGCGCCTATAGAAAAGCAGCGCCACGACGCTGCTTTATACGATTCCTTTTGCTTATACTTTGATCTGCTGCACAGTACTATTAAGCAGCATTTAATACAGCTAGAGAACACGTACAATATAGATAAGAAGGGATTTATAATTAGAGTAATAAGCAAGGGCGTTAGAATCTTTAATAAGCAGCTCTTTAGACTCTAGAAATACAAGCTAGCATCTTATAATAGCAACAGGAAGTAGGTAACAGTAGTAGGAGCAGTAGGAGCTAATAGTTTTATGTTGCTGCCTGCAGTTATTTATCCTTTATTGTCTCTCTAGATGCAAGAGAGCTGGGTGCAGCGCGTTAAGGCCAAAAAACACAATATACACTTCAGTACCTTAGTAAATAGCTGGACAAACAATGCTCTTAGTGTTGCCTAGCTTAAGCAAGTGTTTGATTGCTATACAAGAGTGAGGGCGCAAGGGAAGTACAGACTCTTGATCCTTGATGGCCACAGCAGCCACGTCACGAAGGCCTTTATTGAATACGCTCATGCCAACAAGATTCTGCTACTTATATTCCCTCCGCATGCTACTCACGCGCTTCAGCCGCTTGATGTGGCGTGCTACAGGCCGTTGGCGCAGCACTACTCTGATGAGCTCCTTCATCGCGGCCACACCACCGAGGGGTGGGTACCTGTGGCTCAGGCTGACTTCTTCCCGCTTTTTTGGGCAGCGTGGAAAAAGACCTTCACTAAAGACCTTGTTGTACAGGCCTTCAAGTGCACTAGGATTCACCCACTAGATGCCAACGTCGTGCTTAAGAAGTTTAGAAACCTAACACCAAAGTTGCCTAGCACGACCCTAGAGCCTACTTAGCTTTAGCCTGCACTAGAATCACCTAGTTAGCGTAAGACGTCGCGGCTTCTTAAGCGTGCAAGAGAAGATAATGTACCTAGTGCTGCTAAGGCAGTTAATTAAGCCCTTTACTAACTCTACGTGCAATTAGAGATCTTAGAGGCTAGGGTTAACAGCCTAGAAGAGGCTCTAAAGGCTAATAAGAATAAGAAGAGGAAGTAGAAGGTACTACCTTTGCAACCTATTAATAGTAATAAGGGTAGTAGTACAGTTCTCTAGAGTCCTTCACGCATTAAGCGTGCAAAGCAAGAACTCTAGGCAAAAGAGGACCTTAAGCGCGCTGTAGAGGCAGCAAAAGCTACTAAGAAGGAGCTTTAACACTAGAAGAAGATTATTTAAGTAAAGGAGAAGGAGGATAAGCGTGTAGAGCAAGAGAAGAAGAAGGTATTAACTACTAAGGCACAGGCTGCAAAGCGCGCTTAAACTAAGGCTTGTAAAGAGGAGGTAAAGTGCAAGAGCAACACAAAAAAAGTACTTAATTACCTAAATAGGCTAAGAGCAAGGCCTTATAGAAATCTTAGTTAAAAGTAATAAAGAATTATAGTAGTAGTGCTGTGTGTAGTTAGTAGGTGCCTTATAGGTTACCCTTACCACTACTACCTACTACAGCATCTACTAGCCGCACCACGCGTCCCCCTAGAAAACTATAGTAGCTAAAAGTTTCGCAATAGTCTATTTAGTAATCCACTAAATTATCTTGTAATAGCAGCATTGTGGTGTTGCTTAATAATCTCACTTGTTTCAGGGTACAAAAAGTGATGTTGGTGCATCACGCGCCGCGGTGCACAACGAGGCCGTGCACGTTAACGTGAGTGTATAGCGAGTGGGCCGGCTAAGCGAGTGGACCGCCTCAACAAGCCATTAGGCCTTCTACACGCAATCACTCAACACCACAACGTTATACTGTAGCTAACAGTACGTATTCTTAATTAACGTACCTCACGGGCGAGTGGCCGGCCCGGGCGAGTGACCGGATTTTGCCAAGACCACACTAAACTTCATACAACCTGCAATGTCTCAACGCAAAAAGGCTTAAAGTGTCTTAAAGGAACTAGATATACAGCTTACTATTTAGGCTCTTAAACAAGACGCAACTCTTACTATTCTACGCGCTGTAATAATCTATAAGGTGTTAGAAAGAATACTAAGACAATAATATGCTAGAACACTCTTAAGATATAATTATAAGGTTAACTTAATAAAGCTAACAAGCACTAAAGAGGAGGTAATTGTGCAGCATGTTCTAAAGCTAGACAAGCAAGGATACCCACCCTAGCTTACTAATGTAGAGGATATGGCTAACTCTCTACTCACTAAGCGCCACTAGCCTCCTGTTGGCAAGAACTAGGCTAGCATGTTTATTAAGCGTCGCCTAGAGCTTACAGTCAAGTTTAATTAAAAGTATGACTACAAGAGAGCCCTCTGCAAGGATCCTAAGGTGATCTAGGGCTAGTTCTACCTAGTAGAGAATACTAAAGCTAAGTATAGTATCCTAGATAAAGATACCTATAATTTTTACAAGTCTAGGTTTATAATAGGTGTTATATTAACAGGAGCTGTTGTTACAGGCTTAGAGTATTATAGAAGACTAAAGACAGTATAGCAGGGCAACCAAGAGTGGACTAGCATTATCTAGGGTATTAACACATTAGGATAGAGTATCCTACCCTTTGTTATCTTCTAAGGTAAGCACCACCTCTCTGCCTAGTATAAGGAGCTGTCTTTACCTTATAACTAGGTTATTACTGTCTCTAAGAGCAGCTAGACTAATAACAAGCTAAGTATTAAGTAGCTAAAGCACTTTAATAAGCACACAAAGGAGTGCACTATTGGCAGCTATTAGCTGCTTATTCTAGACAGCTATAAGAGCTATAATTTAGTTAAGTTCTACTAGTACTGTGAAGAACACAAGATTTTTACCTTATGTATGCCTCCACACTTATTGCACCTGTTGCAGCTACTTGATGTAGGTTATTTTGCCCTAATAAAGAAGGCCTATAGTTGCTAAGCTAAGCTGCTAATGCGCAACAAGATTACTTGCATTACAAAACTTAAGTTTTTACTGTGCTTTAAAGGAGCTTTTAATGCCTCTATTATTAGGAGCAATATCTAGGGAGGATTCAGAGGTGCTGGCTTAGTCCCCTTTAATCTAGAGGCTGTAATATTGTAAAGTTATGAGACTTTGTTCTTATAATCTTTCTCCAGCGTATTTCCTTCTTGGGTATAGCGCCATGCTTGCCTAAGCATTGTTATTGTAATCTCTTAGAAGAGAGGATTAGAATGGTGTGCTTACGAAGCCTGTATCTCCTCTCGTTCTTAAGATAACATGTTTTACAAGCGAGCGGGCCATACAAGCGAGCAGGCCACCCTACCAACTTTGCGCACCTCTACAAGCGTATATCTCAACAACGTGATAACATAATATATAGATATTTGCAGAGTAAATTAAGCAGTATCTAATGTATCTTTTCTACACGTACGAGAGTTATGCCCAGTCTCTCTGCACCTTGTGCAGCGCGCAAGAGCCTGGCAGCTACTAAGGCCTAATCGCGCTCCTCCTTGACGCTCTTCACAAGAAATCTGCTGCTCAACCTCACATTGAGCGAGTATATCCTCTCCCTCTCCCTTTGTTAAGGTCCCTTGCTTCTGTATACGCTTTTTCTTCTGTTGCTTACGCGCTAACGCTGCCTTGTTGGCTCACTTAAGGCTGGTGATCTGATCGCGCATCAGCTCAGCAGAGAGTATTATCACCTCAGCTCCCTTCTTTAGCTAATTAATTGCTTTAATAATAGAAGCTAGTGACAAGCTCTTATGCTGGCGTACACGCTCACGTATAAGAGTTAATTGAGCCTTAAGTTCGCGTACGTTGCTCAGTGTACGAGCCTCCCAGGGAGCCTCTAGTAGAGCAGCAGCTGGAGACGGCGTACGCAGCTGCACGTCTAGCTTTGATAGAACAGCGTCTGGCTGGAGAGGAACAAGGCCTGCGCCTTGAAAATCTGAGCAAATATTAGCTAAGGTAAGCAATTAATTAAATGCTGCCTTAAACGCTGGCAGAAACTTGAGCTTAGTGATGTGGTTAATGTGGTGGCAGATTAGGCTCTCAACCTCACAACTGTACGCGCGCTTCAACAGCAAGAAGCAGCCAACATCAAGCAGCTGCAGCAGGTAGGATAAGTAAGGTGGCATGCAGAGCGTGTAGATATTGTTCTCCTTGCAAAGCTCTTAAAACTCAAGAGAGTGGTAGCTCGCGTGGCTGTCAAGGATGAGCAGGCGGCGCACACTAACAACGCAAGTCTTTGTGTAAGCGTTAAAGTGCTTCAGCCACTCTACGCCTAGCTTGTTATTTGTCTAGCCATTGTTGCTAACTGCAATTGCCTAGTTGTGTGGGATATCCTCCTTGTACTAGGCAGAGAGGTAGTACTTGCTAGCAAAGATAAGGAATAGTAGGACTGACCAGCCAGCTGCGTTAATTGCAGCAATCAACATCACCCACTCACGATTGCCTAGCTGGATAGCCTTTAGCCTGCCTCTCCTCTCTAACCCTGTCATAATAAGCTAAGTTGTAATCTTGCCTATTATAAAGCTAGCCTTGTTAAAGTTGTAGACGTTATTATTACAGATGCTGTACTTAGCCTTTGTCTCCTCTACAAGCTTAAACTAGCTCCTAATTAGGGCTAGATCCTTACACTAGGCTCTCTGTCTATTGTACGCTTGATTGAAACGTGTTGTGAGACTGTCTGTACGCTTGACAAAGTTGCGCGGCCAGTGGACGCCTACCTGACCAGCGCCGCGCGCAGCCAGCAGCTTATCAGCCATATCACGTACAGCATCGTACATAGGCGCAAATCCACGTGTATCTAAGTCAAGTATATGTCTAATAATCACCTGCTCCTCTAGCTTAGTGAGCTTCTTTTAGTTAGGCTAGCAATCGCGTTGGGTGCGCGTCCCAGCGCGTTGGCGTTAGAGGGTAGTTTAAGAGACTCTGTACGTATAGGCAGCAGATCTCTTAGTTAATATTTAGCGTTAATTAAGAGCTAAGATTGCAAGGTTTACATCAGCCTTATAAGAGCTGTTTTAGCTGTAGTAGGAGGGGGCTATAGTTGATTAAAGTATACACGTTGCGCAAAGTTAGTAGGGTGGCCCACTTGCTTGTATGGCCCGCTCGCTTGTAAAACATGTTATGCTGTTCTCTATTTTTAGTAACTAGAAATGTCCTAGACCCTCTGCTTACAAATAGAGTGGTCTACTTTGTAGATGCTAACGTTTATAATTACGCATGCACCTACATAATCTTGCTTTTATGTGCAGCAACACTAAGCATAGATTACTAAGTAGACCTACCTAGAGGAGTCTAGAACGTTCTGCTTAGAAATATAGACAGAGGAGAAGAAGCATAAATACCTCTAGCTCTCCCCCCTCTATTTGCTCTGTACCTAGCCTAGGAATCTCTACCTAGTATCTAATATAATAACTTGTCTATTATATTACATAACCCTACCTTATCTCTATTAGGCTATACGCTTCCTAATTAGACAAAGCTAGTCTAGATTTGTCTAGGTCCTTCTAGACTAGGAAGAAAGTAGTCTAGTCCTTCCCCTACTTTCTTTACAAATATCAAAGCTTAAAGTGCGCCTGTGTACTCCACCACTATCTACTGTAGATAAGAGTACATAGCACTAGGCTGGCGGATGGGTAGGGTATGCTTTTTTACGTTTTGGCTTATAGCTTCTTAACTAGCAGAGATACGCTTACAT